TATTTATTTATTATAAATAAATAAGTAGGGGAAAGGCCAGGGGAGAGGGACAAGCAGACTCTGCACTGAGCACAGAGCCCAACACTGGGCTCAATCTCAGAACCCCGATATCATGACCTGAGCCGAAATCAAGAGTTGGGCACTTAACTGACTGAGCCACCCAGGCATCCCTCTATTAGATCGTTTTACTTAATTTTGGACTCTGAAATGTCCTAGAAAAACCTAAAGCATTCAGTTGAATGTCTACAAGATTTCTCTGTATTTGCTGTGTACCCAGAGAAACAAATTTTAGCATTTGATTTTTTTGGGAAAAAATCATTTTATGTTTTACTTGGAAGGAATAGAGATATGCAGGTTAAGAGTCAACAAGCATTAAAATACTTTAAGAGTTAATGTAAGTGGAAAGAAGCTTATGTGATTTATTTGAAATTCCTAACTTCTCTTTCAGGGATTTATGGCATTTATTGATAATAGTTCCCTGATCCTTTCCCTGGAGAATGTAGATCATAAAGTATTGCCCTGTAGAGATCATCTAGTTACATAATACTACTGTGTTTGGGGATTATAATATGTTAAGATATAGGAATTCAGAATACTTTTTTCCTCTAGAGATTTCCAGGAGAGAGACAAGTTTATGGAATGGATCTGAAACAAAGCTAATAGACTTGAATTTAATTAATTTGGGTAACTGCAAGTACACTGAACCTAATGAGATCTGGTACTTGGTTTTTCTAAGATGGATTGCTCACTATTTTTTTTTCCTCCTCTACTTCCCACAGGAAACCAGTTTCCTCCAATTGCAGCACAGGACCTTCCTTTTGTTTTAAAGGCTGGCTACCTTGAAAAACGCAGAAAAGGTAAACTGTAAGATTCTAATGAAAAATCTAAAAATGGCTTTATCCTTACATAAAATGTGTGCAGTATACATATGGAGCCAATACTCACTTTAGGGGATTGAAGAGTTTTAAAACTGTAGGAAAATCTGATAACATTATCCCAACCACAAAATATAGTTTTTGGCTCTAAATAATTTTTGATAATGAAACATTTGGTCAGGTTTTTAGTTGCCAATCTTGGTTATTTGTAAATGATTCAGGAGCTGTTTCCTGCCTCTTAGAGGAAGGCTGCGGGCCATGACAGTATTCTCAAGGATGGGATTTCTCACCCTTCTGCCACCCAGCTGAGCAGCAGGTTATCCTGCACCTGACCTGGCGCACACCATGTCTGCTGTGGTTCAGATCAAGCCTGCCATGTTGTCTGCCATTTTCTGTTATCCATTCAGTGTTCCTCTCCATTGGCTATGATAATCGGGAGTTGACCATATGGTCTCACTCTTTCAGCACCAATATATAATGGAAATTAAATATGGAGGTGGTGTTATTATATGGGAAACAGAAAGCAGAAAGTATCTTCATTACCATTCTGCTTTTCTCACAGGTAGTCCCTTTGGGCCTTTCTATTTATATTCTATTTGCTTTCCTTGGTTTTCTTAGCTGAATTTTAAAGCTGAAAGAGATAATAGAAGTAATCTAGGTCAACTCCTCGTGTCCCCCCAACCCCCCCACCTTTTTATAACAGGTAAGAAAATGAGACCCAGATGAATCCGTTGTCTCAAAGCTATGTTGTCCCATGCCCTTTGGACAGTCCTGTCAGGAAAGTGTGTTAGCTGCAAGTGTAGCAGTCCTGTCTCCGTATCACTTTATGCCTTTTAGCTTTGTTTTTGTTTGTCTCTTGGAGAAGAAGATACAAGTTAATTAGTCATAGAATTTTAGAGCTAACAGAAATCTTAGAAATCATGCCAACGAACGTTTCCTTTTATAATAAGGAAATGGCGTTACATTTATGCTGCATGTGTAATGTGTATTATCTAAACTGTTCCTTTTCCCCCCTTTATTGTAGATCACAGCTTCCTGGGATTTGAATGGCAGAAACGCTGGTGTGCTCTTAGTAAAACAGTATTCTATTATTATGGAAGTGATAAAGGTAGTATTGATATTAAGTCATATCAACTTCTGTTGTAGGAGGGTTTTAGGGTCCATTTTATACCCCCATTTTAGTAACAGAGTAAACTGAAGACAATGGGAGAAAGAATAACTGAAAATTTTAATAATTATAGTCTGAGTAATTTATAATTCTATTTCACTCTTTGCCAAATGCTCCAAATTCCAGAATGCCTTCAAAGTTAACACAATTGTGTTTTATTGAATTACGGAAGAGATGAAAATCTCGTGGCTTTTCATTTTAGGAAATATTTATCATCCAAGTTATTGTAGAATTTCTAGAAAAGTTAAGACCATTAGGGCTGTGAGAGTTCTGAAGGGAGGAAAAGGTATTTTATTCTTTCAAATATTTTTAAAAGAAAACTTTAGATAAAATGAAATCTATGTGACACCTTTCTTAGCTTCTTTCACAGATTTAAGTAACAACAGCAAACACCTCTATAAAGATTCCTGTTCTAAGCACTTTGGCGACATTAACTGGTCTAATTACAACTCTGTGAGGGAGGTACTGTTATTAGCTCTATTTATTTTACTGTTTGGAAAACTGAGGACAGAGAGGTTAAGTAACTTGGTCAAGGTCACAGATCTGGTAAGTGGCAGATGTGGGATTTGAGCCTAGGCATAATGGTGGAGTCCATGCTCTAACCATTAATTTGGAAACAATAAGATACATTTTGCAATTTTACTTGCTAATTAATACATCTCTTACTCACAGCCCACATAATTTTAAGCTCAGTATTTGAACAGATAAAGCCATAAAATACTGAAATTGAAAGAATGTAAGCTTCCTTAGTTTTGCTTTTTTCTAGGAAAAGCAGGTCAGAAGTTGAATATTGTAAAGTAAAGGTAATACAGAAAGAGCATTCATTTCCAGAAAGGACACTTAAGGAGAAAAAAGGCATAGAAGTCCAATATCACTGAATATAAGCTTTCCCATGGAATTGTTTACTTATCAGCGTTGTTTGGAAATTTATGTTTCATTTGCTATCACTTGCAGTTTTTAGGCTTTTTCCTTATTATGAAACTATGTAGGTATGATGATTGTACACGTTTCAGATAAATTTGAATTACGTAGGTGATGCTGGAAGTAGGGTTCACCTTTTGGCTAATGGAGTTAACAAATTAAAAATTAAGTGGCTAGTTTGCAGTTTGTCTCTAACTTAAAATATGTTCAAATGTAATAATGGCATCAGTGAAGCATAAACTGGGAACAACTATCAGCAGGCAGCCTTCTTTCTTCTGCTAAGGGTAAGTAGGTGATTTTGTCAGAATATTTAAGCCTGAGTTTGGTTATGATAACCATAGGTCATAAACATACATTATTATGACAAATATAATTTGGTACACCATTGTGAATTGAGAGCACGATCTTACTTTTCCACAAAGAAATATCCTCTATTTCATAAGACTAGGGGAGGCAGGTTTCACATATTTGTGACTCTGGTTCAGTTAGGTTTCTCATTTCTAACTTCTTTAAGCCTCAATGAATACTAATGTTTGTTTCATCTACTCCTAGTCCTCACTGGTATATACCAACTGTTAGGTCAAAGATGAGCAAGAGTTTTCCCAAAACCTAAGGGATGTTTATAGTTATTTCAAATAAGTATGTTTATTTCAGTAAATAAATTCTAGTTATTTTGTGGGGGGTATTAGTTAAATTCCTATTTCTGTTCTTACTTGATGAGAACTTAGGGTAAGAATGTTCTTTGTAATTTGTATTTTAATTATTTTGTGGTACATTTAACCACTTGTACCACCACCACTTTTTAAAAATTACTATTCTAGTGTTCTTTTTTTATGTAGATATTTGAGGATCTGGCGTATATTTCCATAAAACTTTTCCCTGTTACTCTGAAGTCTCCATTGAGAGTGTAGGTTTGTTTTTAGTGGTTCTTTTGGCTGCTTCCTTTAGCATTTTTGGCCAGTTCTTCTTTTGGGGACTCAGAAAAAAAATCTGTCTTTAGACACTGTTTAATTGCTTGTTTGGCATGATCCTAATTCCCTTCCTTTGTATCCTTTTCTTTCTAGGAAAATGTATGTGTCACATGAAACTTTTACTTTCTTTTGTGAAACCAGATAGCTGATTTGTACAGCTTGGTGTACGATGTATATTTGAACCACTTGGCTAAACTTTAGAGCTGTTTAGATATATGAGAACTGTAATCCTCCAACTAAGTAGGATTTAGATAAATGGATTATAGAGGCACAGTAGGAGTTGATACCACTTACTCTAGGTTAAAGTGTTCTTTGTTACTGCTCGACAGATGCATAGTTCGTATTTTATAACTTACTGTGTGTGCCAAAAAAACGTTTTGACCCATCAGGATAGTAATGGCTTAGAAAGAGTAGTTCCAGCCTCTAGGGTAAATAATGCACTTACCTTTGTACCCATAAATAATATTTGTATTTATTATTCATGGCCATTTGTAGTCCTTAAGTAATACATATGTATATATTTTATCACTTTATGAAATCACATCCATCCTTTTATCTCTTTCTTCTTCCTTTGATTGTCGCAAATCCTATTCATCAAACTTCTTAGATTTTAGCTATTCAGGGTACCATCAAGGTAGACATTCATTCACTCACTCATTTATTCATTTTTTTATTGAATAAATATTTATTGGATACTTGGTAGATACTAGGCACTGGGGATTCAGAGATAATCCTGCCTTAGAGATACTCACAGTCGGTGAGAGGAAAAGGAAGTCATGGGACTAGAGGAGGGGCCTGAGTAGGTAAATTGCTCATTTCAGTGCAGTACGGTAAGTGATTTAAATATATCTTTGGATAACAAGGGAGGGATGGCTAACTGCCTAGGGGAGTGAGGGAATACTTCCTCATGGAGAGGACCCTTCATTGGGCCTTAGAGAATGAGTAGGAGTTTGTGATAAGGATATAATGGGCATTCTGGGCAGGGGAACAGTAGAGATTCTGTGCTATAAAAGGCCTCGGATGATGCCAGAGTTGGAATCAAGTTAGAGTACAGAGTGAGTGAGGGAAGGGAGCCCACAGGTTTAAAGAAGTGGGTTTGAATCAGACTGACAAGAGCCTTATGAGAATAAGGGCTTTGCTGAGTATTTTATCTTAAACATGACCTTTCACCATAGGGCTCTACAACCAGATTTGGGTTTTAGGAAGTAATCGTGATAGGATTGAGGAGGATGAATTGGAATGAATAGAGACTGGATCAACAGGATCATTTAGGAGGACACTAAACTAGGCTAGGCAGGAAAGGTCCTCACAGGGCTGCTGAGAGTCATATTTATTTTTTGTTTTGTATTTTTTCTATTTAACCTCTATATAATCTTGAGTCAGGATTATGAATCTTATCTCTTCCCACTTTTAAGAGAGAAGTGGTTAGTTTGTAGTATCTCTCTTTTATTCCCACTCAGCAGGTTTTTTTGCCCCTACCTCCACTCCCCAATTAAAGAAAATTCTAGTTGCCATATAGTATGTGGCAGCTGCATGTAGCTTTGGTCTTACCAAGTCTTTTAAAATGTACATCAAAAGTTATTTATTATACCATGTAAATTGGTGCAGCCACTATGGAAAACAGTATGGAGGTTCCTCAAAAAACTAAAAGTAGAACTACCATATGATCCAGCAATCCAACTTTTGGGTATTTATCTGAAGAAAACGAAAGCACTAACTTGAAAAGATACACGCACCCCATGTTCACTGCAGCATTATTTACAATAGCCAAGACATGGAAACAACCTAAGTGTCTATTGATAGATGAATGGATAAGGAAACCGTGATATATATGATTTCACTCATATGAGGAATATAAGAAACAGCACAGAGGATCATAGGGGAAGGGAGAGAAAAACTGAATGGGAAGAAATCAGGGAGACAAACCATGAGAGACTCTTAACTATGGGAAGGAAACTGAGGGTTGCTGGAGGGGAGGGGGGTAGGGAGTGAAGTAACTGGGTGATGGGCATTAAGGAGGGCACGTGATGTGATGAGCACTGGGTGTTAACATGCAACTGATGAATTACGGAACTCTACATCTGAAACTAATG